AGGTGAAGAGCGTATCCATCTGAAGCCACAGATATGGCTGTAGTGCAGAAAAGACAAAGTAAAATTAGCCTGATGAACAGAAATGTGTGGCTGCTGCACCAGCAAAGGCTGGTCAAGTTTTCACAGCTGCATGAGAACCACCATCTGGTCCCTTCCTTCAGTCACCCAGCCATGTTTCCGCTGTATTCCCCACTTCCTTTCTCGTCAGCATCCCACTGCCCTGGCACACAGCTCCAGATTCCACCTGGTTAGTCCGAGTTCCCTGGTTTCAGTCCTTTCCACCCCCACTCAGCATAAACCTCAGTTCTTTTTCAGCTAGTCTTGCTACTTGTATGCATTTAGACTTTTAATTTTCTTAAAGGGGATTACCTTGAACTGCTTTGAACTAGCAATGATAGAACAGAGTCTATTAGGTGAATCCAAACAATTTGGTACTCTAGCTTTAAAGATAGTCAGGCAACAAATCATTTTAAACAGGCTATATTAAATTTAGTAATCTAGTCTAAGTTTTATTATTTTTTATACATTAAATTGCAATACGCCTTGGCCATATTTGCCAAAAAGGCAGAATTATGACTTGTAGTCAAAAGTCTGTGACAGGGAGCTGAGCAGTAGAAATTAGCAGGGATGAGGAAAGAAAAAAGATGAACAGGGAGGAGCTGGCCATGCTCGGTGGCAGTAAGACCATCTTCAGGGAAATCTCATCATTTTTATAAGGCCAAGGAGCCTAAAATGAATGCAAGAGTCTTGACGATCGTGATATTGACTACTGCTATGGGAGCAAGCAATTCTGAAATAAAGGTGAAATGTCCACTTCTACATAACAGCACACGAACTGGATGACAACACTATCATTCCTTCAACATTAATGGCAAGTTTCTTCTCATATTTCTAAATCTTTAGACAACCACTGTGATAAATACTAGAGTAGGGTGCTCCGCTACGCTTTTTCAGTTTGTTTTAAATTATGCACCGAAAGCTATATTCCCTTCGCATTCTTAGATTTGCAGTGCTTGACTTTGCAAACTTAATATTCTGTTTCAACGTAGTTTCTGTTCAGACACATTGCCTAGCCACCTTCATCTTCAAAGAAGAAATTGCTGCACCTAAGGAAGGACTGACTCTCCCAAAGTACAAAGACACAAACTAAGCAAACATAATATACCATATCCTTCAAGGCATTTAAGGAAAGGTTAGGTTCCAAACCACGATACAACCTGGACACAGCTGATTGTCCTTATCAGAGTAATTCCTCAAGTACATATGGATACCTACGGATTTACACTCTCTAGGTCAAGTTCAAAACATCCAGTTGGTTTAAAGACCATCCACTGATGCTGCAAACTAGGTACTCAGACAACGTCTGAATGCTCCTTAAGTCCCAAATTGCAAAAAACTCAGCTGGCCTCAATCCTCTACGTAGACAAAGAAGAAAAGGAAAATGGTGATTCTTAACCGCAGATTCACTCTAGGCTGTACGTGCTCAGGCACACCCGATTCCATTTTAATCAGAAGCTTAAAAAAAAAGATATTCTACTCCTATTCATCTCCTAGCGAGTGATTCAGACAGCACCGCCCCACCAGCTTTCCATGGAGTTTTGAAATTATTCTAAAGACACAAATCACTGGTACATGACATCAAATTTCATATACAGTAACTGGAATTCCAGCTTATTTGCCACACCCCCCCTTTCTCTCACTTATTAGCTAACTCCTACAGAGAAAGGTTATACCTTTTCCTTAGTACTCCAAAAGCAAACAGGAGTTCCTGAAACAAAATTTAAAAATTGGACAGAGAAATGAAGAGTTTGCGTGTAAAAGAAAAGACGACCTACCACTTTTCCCTTGATAATCTCTGGCACTTTCTACTTCATTCTCTGAAACAATGTTATCTATTAATAGTTAGAAAGATAACATTATTTTATTTTAAATAGGATTACCCCCTACTAAAAAAATTGTTTGGCTGTGCAATGACCATTTCTCAATTGTCTCTGAGGACAGCAGTAGATGTAAGTAATAACAAGAGGGTCACAAATGAGTTAGCTTCATCAAGTGACTGGCATATGCTAGTGCTACCCATTCTGACAGGAGATCACTTATAAGTGCCAACAGCTACAAAACAGAAGGTTATAAAGGCTTGCTAAATTCATTAATAAGACAGTCGGTAGTTATCTGATTTCACAGCAACACCTGCATATTTATCTTCTCATTACCAATTGGATGATGGAATTTTTTTCAAGCACATTTCAAAAATCTGCCAACTTCAAGTGTAGGAAAAAAAATAAACTTTGTAGTTAATTTTTCCCTTAACAAAGTACAGCTGTTGAGAATAATTGTTCAAGATCTTACCCTGTAATGTCAACTGCAGCAGAACAAAGAGTATTTAATTAGCAAATCTATCCAGTAATTCAACACCTATTATATAAAATGCCTTCGTGATTTTATTCAGGATAATTTGCTAAGAGGGTTATTACTGACATTCAGATGAAATTTAAAATTCCTACGCAAGTCGAGTCATAATAGCAGTAATGATCCCCCCAATCAGGAGATACTGTGTCACACAAGGTTCTTTTGCAATGCAGCAGCCGATTTCCTGACTTCTTAATTCCTGGGCTCAGCTCAGTGAGAGCCCTTCACGCCAATATTTCAGTCAGCAATACATCCTTAATGGGACTCTATTAAAATACCTAGAATAAAAATGATTTTTTTTTTTTTTTGAAGAATGACAGCACAGCTATCATATCAATCATTAGCAGTTTCTCAGAAATGCACAGCAAAGGAAGGAAGGTTTATAGTGAGGCTGGAAAGACAGAAGAAAGAAGGAAGAGAATAGGAAAATTGTTACTCGGTAGTTTCCTTTTGCAAACAACATTGCGCTGCTCATGAGAGCTGGATTGTCTCCTATTGCAGGCAATCCAAGTAGGAAGAATTAATTGCCTGGCAACCCATCTGTATGGCCATATCCCCTCCCCAGCAAACATATACTTCTAAAAACCTATGAACTTCCAGCACAGTGAACATCTGTGAAATTCTATTTTAACTTTTTTCTTGTAAAAATAAGACTAGCAGCATACATTCTCTTGCCCATGAACCGCGAGTCAATATAAACTGAAAGATTGCAATTGCAGACAACCAAACTGCAAAATTCCCTGTCCTAATTCTACTCCAACTCACTAATTACTTCATTAACTGAGGACGTGATTGAAGAAAGAGAACGATTATAAATAAATAAATATACAAATAACAGCTTTACCATTATCCATTACATCAAGTATTTTTAAATGTACCTCATTTAAAAGCCACTAAAGAGTACCATCCGACAAGAGGATGCTTATGTGAAAACAAGCTAAGATACCTGAGTTAAAAAACAACAGGATAGGGCACAAAACTAACATGCTGACGCAAAGATTTCTCCTGAAGACACACAAATTTTCTGTAGATATCTGGGGCCACAGACGTGAAGGAACAGAAAAGGAGACTTAAGACCAGACTGAAAAGACTGACCAGAATAATTACAAAAATACTGCACCAAAGACACATGCCAAAAAAAAAAAAAAAAATTAAAAAAATCATTCATGCACTCACTTTGCATGAGGAGAAAAACTAACACTCTTAGGGCCTTGGCAAAAACTGTATTTTTGAAGACTACCTGTAGTTATCTAGCGTAGACCTGATACTTTTTTCCAACTCAGCTGTATACTTGTGCAATTATATAGTCAGAAAACAATTCTGTTATCAGCTTAAGTAATTTATACTAGCTAGTCCTTCCCATGACACAGAGGAACAAATAGACAGGAAGAACTGTGTTCCAGTATGTAACACCACTCACTAATCTACCAAAGAAGTATTTCTGAATCTCTGTATTTTTGCCACCTATTAATTAACTTTGCTAGAATTTTGTGATAAGTAGCCTTTAGCAGTGAAAAATCACAGCCACAGGATGCTGCAAAAAGATTTTAAGGAGGACTTGCAAAAAAGTTTCCTATCACTGGACAAAAAGGCACACATGTCATAAGCAACATTTAGATGGAAACCACGTTTCCCACAAGGAACGAAACATCGTGACAATTTAGTGACAAAGGATGAGTTACTCAATGCCACCTTTGCCTCAGTCTTTAACAGTAAGACCAGTTGTTCTCTGGCCCCCTGAGCTGGAAGACAGGGTCGGGGAGCAGAATGAAGCCCCCATAATCCAAGGGGAAATGGCTAGTGACCTGCTATACCACTGAGACAC